ACAGGGATACCCATTGTCATTGGGGCACTTGGCACCATGTCCAAGAATTTTATAAGATACAGCAACAAATTGCAGCTTCCTGCAATAATACTAGCGGAACAGCAAAAAACTGGGCTACTCGGAACATCTTATATTTTAAGAACGTCCTTGGTTGATACCTAGGACGCTGGCAGCAAACTGTATCAACCATTAGCACCAGTCACTGGTATTTGTGGTGCATTTTTAAATGTTCAGTTGGCTGAGTTTCATGTTTAATGAATAAAGTATATAATAATAATAGTAATAAAAATACTTTATTCATTAAACATGAAACTCAGCCAACTGAACATTTAAAAATGCACCACAAATACCAGTGACTGGTGCTAATGGTTGATACAGTTTTCTGCCAGTGTCCTAGGTATCAACCAAGGACCTTCTTAAAATATAAGATGTTCCGAGTAGCCCAGTCTTTTGCAGTTCCGCTAGTATTATTGCAGGAAGCTGCAATTTGTTGGTGTATCTTATAAAATTCTTGGACATGGTGCCAAGTGCCCCAATGACAATGGGTATCCCTGTTTACATGCTTCATCCATAGGTGGGTAGTTTCGATGCTCTCTATGTTCAAACTTAAGTTGAAGCTATATGTTGTTTATAGTAAAATAGACCAATAGAGAAACATGAAATGATAATTTGGTGTAATTTTTGAAGGGGCAATTGAAGATATCGTTTATGTATTAAGAAGAAACAAGTATAAAAAATGGAAAATAATGAAAGAAAATAATTTGGCTGTGATGTAAAATGGATTAGGTAAATGAGAGGATTGAAAAAGGAAAGATCCAATCAAGTTTGTTTCTATAATAAGTGTAAATCTGTATTTTTTTTAAAATAGATATAAAAAACCACAATTCCAAGAATTAAATCACCAAGATCTTCTTTAAAAAAAAAAGAGAGATGCATAATTGTTTGATATGCAGAGCATCTTAAGAATGAACATGTATATTCACATGTACAAAAAGGGGGAAATTGCTGCCTTAGAAGGATATAAAAACTTCAAACTATGATCATCAGAAAGCAGAGGAGGAGGAATAACTAGAATTGCAAATTAATGCAGAACAACGGGAGTTTTTATTCAGATGCTCATTAAGACACAATGACACAATGCGGTTAATTGATTGCATTGCACAGATTCCAAAGGCTTTATTTGACAAATTGTCATCTGCCATAGGCTTAATAAAAGCAATTAAATCGATTTTTGGCTTTAAATGTATTTTCTTTAGCACCGAAATCTTGTCTGTACCAATGGCTCTCAACCTTGGCTGCATTTAAGAGGGGTGGGGGGATTCTAGGCTGGGGGGGGGATTCTAGGAACTGAAGTCCCACCCCTCTTAAAGGGACCAAGGTTGAAAAATTGTGTTTCTACACATTGAGATGGTCCGAAAATGCACAAATTATTTTATATTGTTGCGTTTTTTTTCCCTAGTCATTTTTTATATAACACGACATATTTTATATGACACATTTTATATATACATCAGAAATGGTTTTAGGCAGGGTCTCCTGCTTGGGGTAGGTGGGGGGTTTGGACTAGATCAGTGTTTCTCAACCTTGGCAACTTGAAGATGTCCGGACTTCAACTCCCAGAATTCCCCAGCCA